ATTTTGAAAATAATATTAATTTTTTCTATCACATAAAGATTTTTTACAAATCAGGAAGAAAAGAAAACTCTCACTTAGATCAAATTATGATTTCATTTACCACAATGAAAATTTTTATTATTATGTTTCTTAACAAAAATACAAACAAACTGAAGATAAGGGAAGAAAACTGATGTCAGATGAATATTTATCCTGATTTTCTTTTGTGACATCTATAGCTTTTAGTCTCAAAACTACGTATTGTGGTCTTTCTTTTATGCATTGCATGTTTTGTGAAAAATCTGTACATGATGGAGAAAAGTGGATATCATTTTCAGATTCAGTATACAGGAATTACTGTAGAATATGTAAACATTTCATGACAATAAAACCATCGCAGACATGTATAATTATATTAATATTTCCAGTTCGCTCCAGTCTAATTTCCAAAGGTGTTTAGATCATAGGTTTGTTTAACTTGAAAAATAGCATTTACAGTAACTATTAATTGATTCACTGTTTTGTTCTGAACATAAAAATAAGTAATGATTTAGTTGTTATCAGTAGTTTTTGTGAGCTTATTTTTAAACATATGGACTCTCTTTATACACTAATAATAATTATTTATTTTTACATTTCCATGTAATACCTTCAATGTTGACTAAATAACACACAACTTGTGCTAAACAAGAATATGTTCTTTTTAATGTTGTTTGGTTAATAGATTTGAATAAAATGGTTTTCAATTTCATAGGTCATAAAATTTCTAAGTTATCATAAATGTAAAACTTAAGATCATTAAAACAAACTAGTAAAATTTTATATGATAGAGATAGAAAATAATTTTGTTTATCTGCGCTTTGTTTTTGACATTCCTCATGCTTGGTTATCAAACTTAAAAATCAATATATTCATATAGAGATAGAGAGCTATATCTTACTTGTGTTACTTTTCCCAGATGATTCATGACTGGCCACCAGGAGTCCAAACTGGGAAGCCAGCTCTGAGATGGTGGTAGCTGTATCTTCTCGGTTAAGTTCTGTTTCATCTTCAAAGTCATCCAGGTTTCCAATATCTTGATCAGGTGGCTGCATACTCATAAGACTAGCAATACTCTGTAAGTCTTCATCTCTAAATCAGGATATAACCACAAAAAAAACTTGAAATAATACTCCATTTAAATGTAACACTCTGTAAATCTTTATTAAAAAATAACCAAAAACATACCTATAATAATGTCCGTGTTGCTATCTCTATATTACTAAAGTAATAATAATACTTCATCTAAGTGGAACACTCTGGGCCTTTTCATCTCCACACAAGTAAACAAATTAATAAAAGTAACTCAATTAATATTTCATTTAAGAACAACCACTACTCTGTAGACCTTCTCTGTATTATGAAACAACCACAAACAAATTACTATACTCAAAGAATAACTTTATACCATACATCTTTATTTCTGTATCATGAAATACTTATTGAGATAATATTCCATGTACAGTATTCTGCATGTCTTCACACAAGTTTTAAGGTACAAACACATAAAAATATTTTCTCTAAATAAAACAACACTCAATATAGTTTCAGTTTTGTATTATGAAACAACTGAAGAAAACTACTGATATAATTCATCACACAAGTATAATAAAAAGAAAGTAGCCCAAAGCATCTACTAAAATTATATGCTGAAGCAACAAAATAGACCATCTAGAGGCCCTAAACTTACCAGATTCAAGTTTAAACACATTGAATAACAATGATTCTTAACACTAGAGGTAAAAAAAAGCAATGAAAAAACTAGCTTTACAATATTATTCATCAGTTTGATAGGTTTAAATAAAGGGGAGCAATATTTAACATAAAATGAAGTGAAAGAATACTGATACTTATGCCTTTTCAGCTAGATTTTTCCATATTACAAAGCAAGTTTTCTGGCAATTCTCTTTTAACAAAATTTAATCCTCATTTAATAATTACAAGAAATGTTTTCCTGTTGAGAATGAAATTAATGTAGCTTCTCACACCGTGTAAGGACAATCACATGATTACACAAATAATCTACCTTTACTTTAATCCATTGTTATTGGTTTGATTAAAAACAATGTACCAGTTATTTTTGGTATTTAAGGTTCAAATTTTATTAAATTTTCCTTAACTTACGTATGTACCAAACGTTTTATGCAAGTTATCAGTTAGTATATTGTATTAATGTTAATTCTGTTGCAAATTTAATTTAAATCCTTTATTTTAAATCTTGCCTAGTATTTTTGCCACATTTTACTTTATAATGAAGATACAATCTTAAATTCAAAACCAGGATGCTAATTACAAATAATTAGCATCTATATAATCACAAAAATGACGTAGAAAACTGGCAGGGTGATTTACTGAAAACAGCAGACTTGTGTAATAGCAACAAAAAACACTGAATTTAATTAAACATGAAGTTATACAGATATGAACACATCTGAATGCCTTTCTGTATTCATAATAGAGAAAACTTGAGATACCATATTTTTTACTTCAACAAGTTTGAGTGGGGGATTTATGTGTAGGATTTCTACTTACGTGGCTTTTCCTTCTTTCACAAAAACACATGAGAGGGTTAGGCTTAAATGTGCTCCAGTTACTTTCTTTGAGAGGGGTTTAAACTTCAGTTTCACTTCTGACTGAGTAGAGTCCATGCTTGCATAAAACCTGAGATTAATGTTTGCAGAGGCTACTTGGCGTCGTTTCCCAGTCTTGGATATCTGAAAGTAAACCAGGAAACTGAAAGCCATTTCGAAATCTATATGATACAAAACTACAGTTACTCAAACGTTTTGTCTTAATAAACTGTGTCAGAAAGAGGAGTTACCAGTTTTAGTATCTTTTAGATTCTTTAAAAAATGGTTCATCTTTAAAGTACCATACTGTGTAAGAAATATTAAAACTTTTTTCTAAAACTTATTGCCACATTTAAAGTGTAAAGTCTACACAAAAGAAACTTAAACTAACATTTCTAATAAACTTAGGATTTGGCAAAAAAATAAATGGATGGCTAATCGTATTTCAAAATTTAAACTTTAGGTACAAATAACAAACAAACATACACAGTGAATTATGGTATAGCAGAAACAAAAGGTAGTTAAAGATATTAGGTAGTCAGTTCCTCAGTGGTAGGGTAGAATCAATTGCTAATAATTTGGTCATTTCTATTTTGCTCTTGAGATACACCTGTATTAATTAACAATAGTTGGTCAGTTATGTTGTGTTGCCATTGAAACATGACTGTATTGATTATTAATAATGAATCAGTTCTGCTGTGTTTCTCTTGAAACATGCCTGTATAAATTAATAGTTAAGTTGGTTCTGCTGTGTACCTCTTGGGATATGCCAGTATTAATTACTAACAACTACTGTGTTTCCATTGGGATGTGCCTGTACCATGGGTTAACAATTAGTCAGTACTATTGTGTTTCTTATAGGATGTGCTTATTAATAATAAACAATTGGTCAGAACTGTTGTGTTTCCATTGGGATGAGTCTTTATTAAATATTAACATCTGGTTGTTACTACTGTATTTCCATTGGGATGAGTCTTTATTAATTATTAACATCTGGTTGTTACTACTGTATTTCCATTGGGATGAGTCTTTATTAATTATTAACATCTGGTTGTTACTACTGTATTTCCATTAGGATGTGCTTATATTAACTGTAGGCTTACGGGTACCTTTTTCTGTACACATCACGATTTTGACTGAGTTACATTCAAAATCTAATTACACAATTTTACTATCAGTAAATTTCAATTAAATTAGCATTATTACGTACATTATAATTCAAAAATTTATATCATCTAAGTTCCTGTTCCTTTATTTCAAAAGAAACCTGTAAAAAAAATTATTAAACTTCAGTTCTGTTGTCACGTGAGACATACAAGCATTTACAAATCTCAACTTTTAGTCTCTATAACTTGAACAGTACTACCTGTAGAGTATACTTCTATGTTTAGCAAGAAACTAGGTTAATTGCTTTGTTTACACATCCTCTTTCAAATTCCTTAGGGTCAATTCTTCCCTACTATAGGAAATCAATTTTGCTAAATCCTGACAGATGCTATGCTCACATTCTATACACAAGACTTGAGATATAGAAACAAGATGTACTTATTTCACATACATGTACCAATCAAAAATTCTGTCAGTCTCCCTAAATTACTGACATGGGGAAGCCGTTATACAATTGGAGAGTTTGAAGTGTGATCAAGACAACAGTCTGATCAGAAACAAAATTTTTTAGACCTTCATACAGCTTAGTCAGAAAACAAGATAAATTAAAGTGGTTTTTTGTAGTATCAATCTCTTAGTTTATATTTTTAGTTTTTTCAAAATGCATATATCAAACCTACAAAAAATAACTTGTCTACCCCTCCATGTGCAATATTCAATGAGGGTTAGCAAGTACAATGCATGAATGCAAAAAAATTTTCTAACACTGTAAGTACTAGATATCATGGTTTTCTATATATTTGTTACTTACTCTTCTTTGTTTAAAAAAAAAAGCTGAAATGTAAGAACTTATGAATATATAGTAATAATATATATATACACATATGTAACATATGGTAACCAATATGTCACTGTGAAGGAAAAGTGGTGTCCAAAATATCTGCTTCTTTGCTCTCGAAAGTACTTCACTAAGGTCCAAAAATAGTTATGGCACAATTGGTGAACCGTTGCCTTATGTTCAGTGAGTTTCTAAGTTTGTCATAAAAATTTACAAACAAATTGTTAGTTAAAATACAAAATTCAGATTTTTTGTGTACAAGAGTCTTGTAATATTTTTTTGATAGTTCTGTAAAACTTCATGAAAATACGTATACATTATCAAAAGTTATCATAAGCATAGTTAATAAATAAACAATTGGTCAGAACTGCTGTGTTTCCATTGAGAATCTCTATTAATTGTTAAAAATTAGCCAGTACTGTTGTGTTCCACTTTGGATGTGCCTTTATTAACTATTAGCAACTGATCAGTACTGCTGTGTTTTCATTAGGATGAGCCTGTATTAATTATTGATAATTGGTGGGTTCTGCTGTGTTCACATTGAGATGTACTTGTATTAATTATTAATAATCAGTTAGTCTACTGTTTACACTGGAATGTTACTGTATTAACTATTAATAATGGGACAGTACTACTGTGTTTCCATTAGGATGAGGCTATATTAATTATTGATAATTGGTGGGTACTTCTGTGTTCACCTTGTGGTGTACATGTATTAATTATTAACAATCAGTTAGTCTACTGTTTACACTGGGTTGTTACTGTATTAACTGTTAATAATGGGTCAGTACTACTGTGTTTTCATTAGAATAAGCTTATGTTCATTATTAACAATTGGTCAGTACTGCTGCATTCTTCTTAGGGTATAGCTGTACTAGCTGTTAGCAACTGGTCAGTATACTGATGTTTCCATTGGGACATTACTATATTAATTACTGGCAATTGAGTTTATTATGTGGTTTTTAGAATGGGGTGAGTTGTTTGATATTCTGCATGCAGCACATTGAGCTTATTATGTGACAGTGGTTACGACAATACAGTTATATCAGAAATTGCTAAGGCTACAAGTTAATAACAGTTATTTTGAAATGGTCTGAAAGATGCAGTAGTATATTTACTGAAACAATTAATTTATATAAACTATAAATTTTCACTACTTACATCTTCAATGACATATGTCCATTCTTTATCCTCAAAGTCATTACTTCTTTGGTCTTTAAACAATGTGGCCTTGATTTCAATGTTTTCTGGAACAGGCCAAACTACAAGGCCTCTGTAAGGGTTTTGGATTGTAGGCTGCCATGAATGAGCCTAAATTAAGAGAACTGTTATATTGAAATCATACAGAACACATTTTACAATTCAGTGAAGTTAAGCTGAATTTAGTCAACAGCACAGATTAATTCTGTATTTTTCTTTGCCTGATTATGATTTTTAATTTTTTACAGAAATGACTGATATTAGTATAGCAATTTATATAGTAAAAGGCAAAATGAAAACTGGATTAGAATTTATTAAATGCAACAGTGACTGAAAAATTAGTAGAGAATTACTAACCTTTTGAGAGCCAAATAGCATATTTCTAACATTAATTTAGTTTTTAGCCAGGGATGATAGGATGGCTCAGTTTTTTTTTTCAAGTACAAACTTTTAGCTCAAAGCTCTGTCATCTCTTGACCAATTTGAGATCCAATTACCGTTTTGGACTCATAAGGTCAAACCCTTTTGATTGATGTATTTGACCACGCCCAAGGTCTCATAAATTAATTTACTCTAATCCTGCCTAAAGGAATGTCACCTCGAGGGTAAGCTGGTAGACATCCCAATGAGTAATAAAACTGAATCGGATATATGTACACCCCACACTTGGTATTGCTGGAATACAAAAATATAGCTAATAAAGAAGGAAAACAAAGGTCTCATAGATTAATTTACTCTAATCCTGCCCAAAAGAATTTCAAGTGCTGTGGCTATTGAGGATTCCCTCGTTTTAAGAATGATTTGCATTTGTTAAAAAAAAGACGTGGTGTCATAGGCGACATATTTAGCACTGATATATGTCACAAACCTTTCCGAGAAAGAAAAAGGAGTACAATAGTTAAAAAAAAAGGAAGCTTTCAATATCATCCACAGAAGCGAAATAATTTTGCAAAGTAGAGTGTTTAGGACAACAGCAACCTTCAAAGTCACACCTCAAGACAATCTGGAGCTAAACTTAATCTAAAATGTGAAGTTTGTGGTTACAAAAGAGGACCAATAGATCCAAAATGTTATTCCATTGAAGCTAGACAGATCTCCTGATGTTGTAGACAAAATAATAAAGAGATGAAGTTGACAAACACATACAAGTTAAAAGTGCAAAAGCTCCCAGCCACATGTTGAAATCAACTGTTATTTCCATGAGAAATATATTCAAAGAAGTTGAAAAAGTAGTAATTTCTGATAAGTTTATCAATGCAGCTTCAATGCACTTTGGTGCCTGCTTAAATTTGATCTTGGTAACTGATCTTAGATTGGCCTTATCATCCTTCACAGAAGCATATTGCAATGGAAAAGAATTTCAAGTGCCACAGCTATTGATAAGTACCTCTTGTTTATTTTTGTGTACTGTACTGAAGTATAAAATATCCCTACTAATTAAAAACTGCTTGAACTCAGAGGAAAAAGTATCTTAACTGAAATGGATCACTGACCTTTATTGAACATGCACAGATACTACAAACTTTCAGTAAATTCTTCTGAAGAGTATAAAAATGTACTCAAACATTCAGAACAAAAAAAAACAAATTAAAAAAAAACAGTTAAATATACATTTAATTTGTGTTGTTCAGCCATATACAGAATTTATTTGAAAAAGCGTGTAAACCTATAGCTAAACAATTTTCGTAACATAAACATACAATAAAATGAAAATCTGTAATAAACTAATAATCATTATGTTTTAGGCTTTCCATGTTGCTTGCATAAACCATTGGCTAGCTATAACATTACCTGTGTTGAATACCGCCGGTTTCTGCGAGTCCAAACAACACACAGTTTGTTGGGTTGCCTTAATATAAAACAAAATAACAGTGTTTAGCATAATATTTTAAGCTACCTAAACACCTAAATAGCTAATTAATGAGCTCATTAACAGAATATTCAAAATTTTCAGATAATAATAAAAAAAACTCAGAATTTGTTGGGTTGCTTAAAAATACCACATAATAGTATTTAACAGAATATTTTAAATTACCTAAACAAATACCTGAGTAACTCCCAAATGAGTTCAATAATGGATGAGTCAAAATTACCAGATAAGTACAAAAAGAGGTCTAAGGCTGCTTAGAAATACCACATAACAAGTGTTTCTTACAAATTAACCTGAAAAACTGACACAAAGCTTTCTAACAGAAGATTCAAATTATTAGATAAATAACAAAATAGCACAGGGTTTGGTAAGTTTCGATATATAGACTTACAAGCAGTATTTAAAACTAGTCTTTAGACAATAAACAAAATAACTGACAAATTCCATAACAGAAATTTCTACTCATCAGATAAGTGAAAAGCACATTGTTACACAGACTAATTATAAAATTAATAAAGTCTTTGATAAGTTAAGATTCCATAGATTAAATCAATGAAGAGCAATAAATAGCTTCTAAGTAAGAACACTTTGTTTCATTGGACAAACAACAACATATCAACAATTATGAGTGAGACATTGTCAGGCTATAGTTGAACAATATTTAATATTAAACAGATGTTTTGATATGTTGTTGTTTGTTGAATAAAAAGATTTACTGTTTAAAAGTTGTTCATTATACTTCATAATAAACATTTTATAGTTTATACTGCAGGTAATCAGTTTCAATCTTATCTTTACTGTAATATTTCACTTAAAAGTGTGTGTGTGTGTGTGTGTGTGTGTATGTATGTATGAGATACATAGAAATGTCCACTTATTAAGTTTTCCTATCAGCAGTGTAACACAAGAACTTAATTATGCACGATAAAGCCAAGATTATCACTGTTTTCAATTGAAAAATGTAAGGTTATGTCAACAATAAAGTTTCTAGTCATCTATACATCATCAAAAATCTGGTTACACGCTTAACAATGATACATTAAATACATGTGTATGTAAATTTAATTAATAGAATTTAATTACACTTCACAACTACGAGGTTTGATTTATTGAACTGATTTTTTTTGTTCACAGCTTACACATTAGCACATATCAGTATCTATTTTGTACAAACATATAAAATTCAGCATTGTAAGTTTTCATACACAAATAATTTTGACTTGTATATCGTGAATTCGCAAGGTCACACCCATCACAATTCTTGTATATGACGAGTATTATTCACTGACAGAGATGACCCCTACACAATATCAGGACCTTACCATTTCTTCGTTCCCTCCACCATTAGCTCTTGATAAGACGCCGTAAACTGGAACCGGGCAGCCCGCTTGTTGGCCCGCTGTAATCGTTTCCACACGGAGCTCATGCCTACTGTTTGATCGACACTTGATGAGAAAACTATGTCCGATTTCCACGCCCACTAATCGTGTAAAAGCAGCAGACTTCTGTCATTGTGTGTATGGCAATATATCAATGAACTCCCGGGCTTCAGACTACTATGTGTAGAACACAGTGCATCGTCAGGTGACATAGTTGTTACTAACATACATCTAACACTATTGAATAATTCAAACTGTAAAATCATATAAATTAACATCAGTATTGTGGTTTTACTATTTAAACCTCACAAAAAGTTTTAACTTCAGCTTTTATATATGTATCATTATGCTATGTAGTTAATAACTCATCATTCCTAACGGTCCAGTTGTAGACTTACTTTGTTCAATAACTGCTTCATTAGAAGCAACTACCTACCTTCCCACATAAACAACTTCGAAAGATACATTTCATTACCCCCCCCCCTCTTCCGTTGCGGTAATCAGTTTTATTAGGACCATCTAATTACCTTCCCACACATGAAGTACCATCTTCCAGATATAAATTTTATTACGCCCTCCATTACACCGTTGGGGTAACTAGTTTTATTGGCAGAAACTACGTTCCCATAAAGGAAATACCAACTTCAAGAAAAATAAAAAAACTTTCTTTTTTTTGGTAAATTGTATGCTTCATATAACAGACAGTAAGTAGTCCAAAATTTATCGTAGAAAAAGTTTTTCATTTTGATAAAAATAACAAACTGAAGATAAAGCTTGGACAGGCGTTTTAGTGCCAAACAACCCATTTTTCACTCTATATTATTTTCTTGGAAAAATCTAACAATCTGCATTTCATTTATTATTATATTGTGCCAATACATATCATAATGGCAAGTTTCATGCCTCCTGTAGACTCATTGCTACACTTGTGTTTTCCTTGGTTCCCTGATGTCCGACAGAAAAAACAAAACGTGCCACAAAAACACACACAGGTTCAAGATTGTTAAACGAAGAATAAATCAAACAAGGATAACAATGGAAAACAAAATCTTTATTCACACTGTCTGAAATACTATTCAATTGCTGGTTGGCTTCTAATTCTGCATGACTGGCTGTTGATGTTAAGGGCAAGAGAAGAACGAAGTCAAGAGACAGAACTATGAAAAAGCCCATTTTTATATTCAGGCAGAAATCTTATCATATGATATCCCACAAGTACATGGGTTACATATTTCAAACACTGGTTTAATTACAATTATAAGATAAGCCAGCTAGCTGTACAAGCTTCTGTATCACCTGTTTAAAAAGGCTATCATCCTAGTAGACCATACAGAAACACGTACATGCTAGATTGAGGGTTAAGAATGAAGGATTTTCGCCTATTCGTAATTACAAGTTTACCACTTTAAGTCTGGATTCCGCTTACTAAGCTACTATTTATAAATCTGTCACTTCATTCTAATATCTTTGGATATGTGAGCTTCTAATAAATAGAAAATAACTGAGCAAGGCGCAGCCAGAAGTTAACGTGCTTGAACTGTGAATCCATCTTATGGTTCGCGCCCCGTTGCAGAAAATGCGTGTTCTATACTCTGGGGCCATGTATGTGCTACAAGAGCTTCGGTCAAATCCCACTCTTCGGTCAGATAAGAACAGTCGAAAGTTGATAGTGGGTACTTTTGTGTAGGAGGTCAAAATCGGAGACGGCTAATGCGCAGATTATAGCTTTGCGCGAAAATTCTACGCAAATATAAAAGTTTCATATTTTTGAATACAACCAATTAGAAACATCATTGAACATTAGTTTCATGTAGACTCTTTCATAACTTTGTTAGTTTCATGTAGACTCTTTGATAAGTTTGTTAGTTTCATGTACACTCTTTGATTAGTTTGTTAGTGTCATGTAGACTTATGTTTGTTAGTGTCGTGTAGACTGATGTTTGTTAGTGTCGTGTAGACTGATGTTTGTTAGTGTCATGTAGACTGATGTTTGTTAGTGTCATGTAAACTGATGTTTGTTAGTGTCACGTAGACTGATGTTTGTAGTGTCATGTAGACTGATGTTTGTTAGTGTCATGTTGACTGATGTTTGGTAGTGTCATGCTGACTCAAAGAGTCTACGTGAAACTAACAAACTTATCAAAAAGTCTACGTGAAACTAACAAACTTATCAAAGAGTCTACGTGAAACTAACAAACTTATCAAAAAGTCTACGTGAAACTAACAAACTTATCAAAGAGTCTACGTGACACTAACAAACATCAGTCTACATGACACTAACAAACATCATAAGTTTGTTAGTTTCACGTAGACTCTTTGATAAGTTTGTTAATTTCACGTAGACTCTTTGATAAGTTTGTTAGTTTCATGTAGACTCTTTGATAAGTTCGTTAGTTTCATGTAGACTCTTTAATAAGTTTGTTAGTTTCACGAAGACTCTTTGGTAAGTTTGTTAGTTTCATGTATACTTTTTCCAAGAATCAAGTTGACAAAAAGATATATCATCACAAAAGGCTACAAGTAAATAGAATTCAGCAACAATTTGAACGTGAACAAAGCAGAAAATACTAAAACGCTCCAACAATAACACTATTATTATTTGAAATACCAAATTAAAAAACCAGCAATGTCAAAATACTAGCAATGCAAAAAACAAAGCTAATGTACCAAGTCAAATACAATGAATTAAATAACTAACATATTCCTTACCATATAAAACCAAGTCTGAAATACATGTAACACCATCAATTACAGAATTCGCCAACTTTACAAGGTTCGGCAGAAAAATGAAGCAATCTATTTCACCAATTTTAGAAAAATATTTCAACATAGGAATCAAATAACGGGTGTCACCACTTACACAATATCGCTACACTGAAGCTAAGCACCAGTATCTTGACTTGGATATCAAACAAGCTATACAACAACAACATTTCGATACTCAATTCAAACAACACATATCATTATAGATACATAACAATACACCAGTACGAAAATCAAGAAACGGGTGTCATCAGCTATACAATACGTAAGTTGTGTACATACTAAAACCATTGAGGAATCTCGCTACATCGTTACAACCCATATTGCATCTTCAGGTCTTGCTCTATCTTGACAATAACCTTATAGAGTTGTTTCAAGTGCAAAAGGCTCCATCGTAAGGCTGTCATTTCAAAAGTACACCCTCCTCCCTGCTGTTTTCCAAAAGTTATAATGATGACGGTTTACCAACGCCCATTTCAAAAGTTTAATAACACAGAAATCCGCAGGTGCTGCGACTGACGACTAGACCGGTATGTTTTCAATACCCATTTCATTCTCCACCTGACCCCAGTGACACAGCGGTATGTCTGAGGACTTACAACGCTAGAAACCGGGTCACACAACTTAAATACTATACTTCATGTTTAAAACACAGTAATCTCACTATAAATACCGAATAATTACCTTATTATCCAAAACTCTCACACATAAAATGTTATACTGTTACGTCTCCGTTTGTTAATTGATTTTTCCGTAACTTCGTTCCGACGAAATTTTAACGACACAA